TGACATAAACCACTTCTGTAAAGAAAGTTATCAAAGAGATTTTTGAACGAGGTTACGATCTTACTGTAATGGAGGTTTTGTTGTTGTCTGTTCCACATGGCTAAAAAGTGAATTGCCAAAAAATTCTGAGGTGAGTTTTTGTACGCTCTCGGAGCTGATGAAATAAATTTTATTTATTACGATGGTTCCTGAATGATATGACAGAGTCTGACAAGTGGATGCCGAAGAGTAAGAAGTGCCATTTATAAATCGATGAATAAAGACAGGTTTGATTTAATGCATTCAATCGGAAGAGACTGCAACTTGAGTTACTGACATCTTTAGTGATAATCCTTATTGACGGAATACAATGGTACTGATTTTGTAAATCTTCTCTGAATACCCTCAGTTTCCATCAAGTCATTATGTCTTTGGTGACTCTAAACTAACTGAACAACATTGCCAAACATCATACTACTGACTGTCATGACAAGACTAGTCAGTGTAGACTCTGATGTAACTTCCGCGTTATTAAATAGTCACATGATGGAAAACGTACTATTAGGGAATATGCCTATCATTCCAGTAGAAAAAATAAATGTACTGATACCAACCTGGACCGCAATTCTACACCCTTTTGTGTAAAAGAAGGATGAACGGATGCTGATAGAAATTTTAAGCCATCAGAGGAGTGCTTAACAAAGTTCATTGGGTTTGTAATTCTGACTGATCACGTTTTAGAGTCATTCCCTACTATACTGGGTGATGATTGAGCTGTAGCGATAAATAAATGGTTGAAATAAATACTCCTGTAAGCCACCGACATAGATGCTTACCTCAATATATTTGCCGAACATATCTGAAAGCGCCTGATCACTCATCTGCACCAGATCACGAGTGAATAGACTGTTCTACTCATTCCTTGAGACCAGTACCCAGCATAGATGAAACTCTTTCCAACATGTCAACAACCTTCAAATATATCTTCGAACCCGTTCTCCCCTGACTTCGGATTTAACTGGGTTGATGTCTATCGATTATAAAGGTGTTCTCGACAACGGTGTTTTCAAATCATGAATACCTGTAGCATCTATAATGACAAAACACGAATTTCATCGGGTAATGTTTGTAGTACTGTATAATGACTACAAATTATATCAGAAACATTGTGTCTCGGTTAAACAATTATGTCAAAAATCAACTAAAAGTGTTGATGTTTACAATTGACTAACGCTTTCAACTACGAAAATACTAAATCCTCACAAAACCCCTTCTGATAATTAATATAATCATATGCTCATTAGTGACTGACGTCGAGTACATCCAGGAGTTCTAGTGAGAAGCAGTGACCAGTAGAGTTCAAACCACGTCTGTTGTGAGATAGTAACTCACTGAAAACAAATAGTGAACGGTTGCTCTACTTTGTGGATCAGTTGAAGTTAGACATTTACACCGTGTATGCCAGCTCAGTGGTCTAGAGGTTAAGCACTCTAGCGGGAGACTGTTAGGTCCTGGGTTCGAATCTCGCGAGTGCGGGATCGTGGACGCGCATTGCTGAGGAGTCCCACAATAAGACGAAACGGCTGTCCAGTGCTTTCAGGTTTTCCATGATGGTCTAGCTTCAATTGACTCACGCTTTCAGCTTTGAGTTTAAAATAGTGTTTTATGATAAGTTGAATACGTCGATGTCAACCCCAATAAATATTGTTTATACGAATTAGTTATTGTTTTTTGAATGATCATAATAGGCTAGCAGAGAATGAGACGCATGATCTCACGACTGTACTGAAATATAGCTGCTATGACTGGCTAAGGTCTGTAGTGTAGTGCTTCTGTAATCGATCGTCTCGATAACCGTTATTATATCAGTCTGAACGGTGTATAATATCAGGAGAAAAAAGGAAGTGGCAACTACATTTTTATTGACAAATAACATAGGCTAGAAGGCAGTAAGCACATAAGTAAATGTTAGCGAGCGAAGAAAAAGTAACATACATGGGAGATGGCTGGTAAGCCAACTCGAGAGCGAAGCGAAAACAATGCGTATTGGAGATTGGCAGGGAAGCCAACTCGATTTAAGCAAGCGTTAATCAACATTTATAGTCGGACAAAAATGAGTGACAGACATATGATGAATAAGATACGAAGTGTACACATATATGCTCATATTAAAGTATAGTCAAGGTTAATAAGCAAATGATTAACAAGATCAAAATATGACTCATAATGGATAAGCGAATTGGTTTGGCCAGCAACTAGAATAAAGTATATGGGCTTAACATATAAACTGATACTACATAACCCCTTTGTAGAAAATAGCACATTTATAAAAAATGTCTGTTTTCGAAAAATAACACTGAAGCGGTATGTGGATAACGTCAAAATGTGGGAAAAAATGGTACAATACCTGATAAATTACAGTGTCATGCGAGGTGCGAGCGTATTAAACAAAAGTGTCATACTTATGTAAAAAGTGTACATGAATATTGTCAGGATGCGGACAAAAATTGAAATGCTAGCATGTGATTATGAGTACATTAGTAAGCGTACGAAAAAATTTAACATGCATTTATGTAGTGACTGTCCGAATGATAAAAAAACATGTTCGTATGACCGATTCGAAATATCGTGAAAATAGAGTAATAAATCGTTAATGGATATGACAGCGGAATAAATCGTGGAAATAAGTGATGTAGGATATAATAGAAATTGGTCTATGGTGCCAACTGAATATGACGATAAAGAACAGTGAAATATGTTCCGATAAACCGCGGTAGAGTAAATAGAGTTGATCAGCGATTAGTAGATTAGAATTTACATGCCTGCGGTTCATGTGGGATAAAAAATAATCCAGCCGTACGATGATGACTACATCAACGGTTGATATTCATTGCTGTACCGCTACTGATAATGATAAGCAAATGCGAAATCACTGTACGTCGTCGCTTGCGTTGAGTTATCGTTAAATATGTATTAGTAGAATGACCAGAGGAACAGGATAGTGACTTCTGAGACGAGATATACGGAGTCGTATTCCTTTATGGTCATGCGGCCTAGCGTGGTTTGTGTAGTTAGAGGGATATGCGCTCAACCTCATTTGTTACGAAACCGTATTAAGGCGTTATAAAAATACCAATACATATGATTATGACGGCGAGTCAGACTGACTTGGATGTGACGAACAAGAGTGTATCTTTGAGAGACTAGCTCTAAACTCTATGTTCTGGTGTACAGTACAATGGAAATAAAATATTAATTGCAGTAATCGAATAGTTTTTATAGGTAACGGATGATGCAGCATTCAGTTATACATGTGAATGAATAGATAATATGAAAATAATCATTACAAATCGGCTGGTAATGCGGCGTGGAATACTTGATTTGCGCATAGACATTAAAGCACGGATCATCGTGAAACCAAAATTGCTGAAGTTCAGTTGAGGTTGTCGCGTAAAAAGTAGAAAACGACGATTGCTGAGTACCGATGAGATGAATGAATATTAGTTGTATTGAGAACATAAGTTCCTACTATCGGGAGTATGACTACAAACTTATGTCTATGATAGAGTGTAATATTAGACCGAAAGTGACATGAAAAAGAAAAAATTGGAACGAACTCACTTGAATCAGGAAAATTGTACGACATTGAATAATAAAAATAATCCAGTGAGTTTCGAATATCATAACGTATAATTTGACTGCGTACATGTCAAATTTTAATGTCAATACGAACAAAAATAATAATTCCACGTTAGATGATGATAGGACATTATTGTAATAATGAGCATGTGATGATTATTCGAATCGTAACAGAATATGTCGTCGGCGGTTCCATTTTTGGTTTGTGTTCGCTCGTTGTGGTCGCCAATAATGTTGCGAGAACCAAATACGGCTTGTCAATTATGTTGTAAGTTCGTACGTAGAGGTTGTCGATTCTGGTCCGTGCTCGTTCGGCGAGGTCTCCAATTCTGTAGTGCCGCGATTCGTCAATCGTTTACTTCGATAACCGTTATAATTCCAATCTTAACGGCGCGTAAAATCAGAAGACAAAGGATAGCAGCAATTACAGTTTATTGTCGAATAACTCAGGTTAGAAAGTTAACAACACCTGAGCGAATATGAACGAGCGAGTGAGCGGCAAGCGAGAGAGCGAGGCGAAAGATGATGCGTATTGGAGATGGCTGGGAAGCCAACTCGATTTAAGCAAGCGTTAATCAACATTTATAGTCGGACAAAAATGAGTGACAGACATATGATGAATAAGATACGAAGTGTACACATATATGCTCATATTAAAGTATAGTCAAGGTTAATAAGCAAATGATTAACAAGATCAAAATATGACTCATAATGGATAAGCGAATTGGTTTGGCCAGCAACTAGAATAAAGTATATGGGCTTAACATATAAACTGATACTACAGGTCCACTAATCAGAAGTGTCGAAAAGACAATAGTCTATTCGAACGCCTTTAAGACTATTTATACAGAGGTATTGCTAACTGCTACATACCTAGACTCTGTGAAATTTGATGTGTTTCATGTTGTACATATGCCTTTCCTCCCAAATTGAGCCGGCTAAAATATCTAAGGCCGAAGTAAATACCCATAGTAACCATGTATTCAGTACTAAAAACTGTTGTACACAGAACTCTCGATAATTTCTGTGTCCACCTAGTAAGTAAATGATACTTGTTAGAGTCAAACTTTTATTGGAGATTTCATCTGAGGCTCTTAGTTTTAAAGTAATTGTGTTCTTTATACTGTACGAGCTATGTTTCATTGAATATGTTCATATGCAGCAGTTGATAATGATTTCAAACGCTTGAGATGGAGTATTTAGTAAACATTATTACCGAATATTACTCTTCAATATGCAGAACTCACTCACTGACTGGACAGAAAGTGGTTGAAAGTTCAAGACTAACCTCCATCGAACTTTCAAATAGTCAGCCTCAAAATTAATAAGTTCTAGTTTTTAAGGTAAAAAGATGTAAGCATTTAATTGTAACATGCGACCATCAGTTACTACGCATTTATAGTGTTTGAATGAGTCATCACTATGATTTATAATACCATGATACTGTTTTAGTGCACCAATTTGACAGCCGTAAACTAGTTGTCGTTTTAATGACTGAATGAGTTTCTGCAAAAAGAAGATAAACCACCGTCTTCTTCGAGTGACCGTGATAATTTCTAGTTTAATCATCATAGTAAAATCTAATCTTGGGTTGATTTTATAATTTAGGGATGTGCAGTTGCTTTGATCATTTTTGGTAGCATATTTTATAGTTCAATTCGCAAATACAATGACAAACTTGATACGACTATCAAAAGAGTTATAGAATGCTTTGTTATAGTCGGATGTATTATGATTTTTGCTGGATTATTAGGTCTCTTTGGATCTTGCCTAGACAGTATTGATGTACTTTGCTTGGTATATCTTCACACTTTATTGTTGAACTACTTAATATCCGTTGATTTTCAGTTTTCTTTAGGTTTGTTCTCTATAATTATTGTTCAACTGGGGACTGGAATAACATGTCTTTGTTATCATATAAAGGCGAGTGTTTTGGTTATTGATGAGCCTTTTTAGTTGTGGGATAATCTGCATTTGAGCATAAAGAAAGCAGTTGATAACTATCATTTCAACAAAAACATAAGCACCATTATGGATAAAATTCATAGAGATGTAATTATCTTTTCAATTTTCTTTTATTTCAGCTAAAATGTTGTGGCTCACTTAACCACCTAGAATATGGAGATAAAATCCCCTCATCCTGTCATGAAGATGGTTCCATTTACAAAAATGTATTGTCAAAATAACATGTTTTTATGTTATGATAGTTTATTCATTTATTTTTACAAGTATGTGGGTGCATGCATGTTTCCTTGTATTTCCACGGAAAATTTGGTTATCAAATAAATCCTTAATAAAATAGTTAGCATGATGGTACTATTGGATAACTAACCATCTTTGTGTAGTAGCTTATTAAATCATCAAAGAGGCTTATAGACATAAATGCTAAACTTTAGAACCTATTTGACTGTTTTTATGTTAATTTGAATTGTCTATTTATGGTTACCTTGACTGCAGTAAAGCTGTAAAATTTATTTTAGGTTACAGTCCTTGATTTATAAAGTGAATCTGCCTAATGATTGTAGCGAGCTTCGAAATAAATTCATGTTGATAAACAATTGACCTTTGTACTACAGACAAGTTTCATATAAGCGATACACTACTACTGAAAGGACTAATAACTGAAGTCTAAGTACTTACACAACGGTGAACCACGAAATCAGCTCGGGGACTCAAATTCAAGCCTTATGAAAAGCGCCTTCAACCACTCGACCTCTACCCGTCGGAGTATAGACATATTAGAGGTGACCTTCTTATGGCTCACAGTATCCTTAACACTTCTGGACATCCCGTTGAACATCTAATTAGGCTTAGTCACAATACAAACCTAAGGGGTAACACCCAGAAACTGGAGACCCAATATAGTAGGACGGACTGTACACACAACTTCTACTCTTTAAGGGTTTTCAAATGCTGGAATTCGCTGCCGACTGAGCTAGTTCAAGCGACTTCTCAAGAGTCTTTTAAGAGGAAGCTTGACCTTTTCTTAAGGAATGAGGATAACATCTTATTATAATTTGCAGATTTCTATTTTTTTTCTGTTATCGGTAATATACATACAGGTTACTGCCTGGATATATTGGCGATCCCTTGCTACTAGACATTGAAATCCGTTGAGTGAAAGCCTCTTTTCCGTTCACAACCATTTGAACTAGTTCGCAAAATACATTTTGTCGAACTACATCACTTATGGGCATTTTAGTTAGTGTATTCGGTAGATAATCACTTTGTTATCACGTGCTACTTGTCAAAATCATTCAACGCGTATTTTTGTCTAGATAGAAAATGTACATCGTAATACAGTTAATGTTATAAAATGACATTCAAAGTATCGTATCAATCTGTTCATGTATGTAGTTTTTTTGAACCTCTTTAATTGGCTCCGATTTTGCGTCACTTTCTATGCTTTATTGTCTAAGGAAAGTAACAGCACTGATGATAAAAAACAAATAGTTAGGTCATCTTCATACACATGAAAAAATAATTAACCCTAGAAAACTCCGCTTTACACTCCCATCTAGATAAATTACAGTTGAACAGTGCTGTCTGTTTGCCCTCTACATGAAGGTTTTTATTTTTTGAAATAAAAAGTCATTGTAATTATTGTTTGTAATAAATAACAATCTAGCATGAAAAACAGCACTTAAGAACACTGTATGGAGAACGTAATGATTAATTTCGCTGAAGTTAGTAAAGCCTTGATCTTTCAATTTCTTATAATCCATTGACTAATGTCAGCTATCCTTAGACATTGAAAAATTAGCGGGTAATGAATGTATTTTTCTATTTTTATGCCAAACTTTGAATACTTTTGAGTTGTTTGCCATGTACTTGAATGTTTTCGCAAACAGTCTCCCTGAAAGTCTTGAAGCCTACGCTAGTTAGCTTCCATAATGGTAAGTTTAACGATTGTACTGGGAACATTATTTAACAAAAGGTTTAAATATAACGTTTTCCAGTCGTTTGTTGGTTACGGTTCATATAAGAATAGGTGAAAACAAAAAAATTAAGGACTAAGCGATGAAAAAAGTGTTTTTTAGTAGCATCGGGACTATTTTACTGAGTATTGTCAAGCTTATTACGTCAGGCGTATTTTATAATGTTTGAGTATTTTATAGTCAACCTACTCGAATTTCAACTGAAAGAGAACCAATATCTGTTATAAAAAACGAGGGCTCATTGCAAATAACTTCAATAAGTTGTTTAAACATATCGTAGCTTTCTTTAGTCATTTTCTACTGGTGATAATGCTTTGCCATTTTCATACAGTGCTAGGATAATATGCCCCTTATTCGTTCTTTAGTTTATGAAGGGCGTAATTCTAAATAACCCGTACAGTTACTCGTATAAAGTGCCTTATGCCCCCTTATAGATATTCCTAAAGCTAAGTGTTAGCTGTCGGCTCTTAAGTATAGCTTAATCAATACGCACGACTTAAAATACTTTAGTGCTTTTCACCCTTTCTAAAGTTAGTGTACGTTTAGCTTTTAGGCAGAAATGAGCTATTTCTTGAACGTATTTTTATCGTACAACTTACAAATTGATCAACAGCCTTGATATGTAACTGTTTAAATGCCTTATGTCGTATTTACGCATGCTTGTACTATGATAGGCCGATCTGTTTATTGTGTCACACATAAAAATACCGAGATATATGCCTTCCAGGTGCTTTTACTGATGTTGGAAAAATATATGGCAGAACCTCAAACGGTTAAGAAATGCACGGAGTGAGGACTTACGGAGGGATGTTTTATGCTGAAATATCAACTCAACCATAAATAAGGCAAACTAAGAGTCATGCCTTGTCGAATCCTTCATGGGTTCCACATAAGCAGATTTTATAAAGGTGGTGTCTAGAGCTTATTCAAACGTTTTACAAAAGATTCGCTTTCAGAGGTTTGGAATCTGTGATGTACGCACTAGAATCTAAGGTTAAAGTCTATCTAGAAATACATCACTTACTTTACAATTGCGACTGCAGTGAACTAGATTGACCAAGAGCCCTTATATTTTGAGTAGCTTTCATGTCACAAATTCTCAATAATGAAAATGATGTGTTATTTTTGATCGGTAATACTCCAGCCTCTACGAACTGTAAGCTTTTTTCCTTACTGTTAAGAAGCTTTAGAAATTGAGCTGAATTTTCTTCACGGGTGGAGTCAGCCATGTTTCCATCACTGTGATTGTCTGTGATCTACGACAGTCAGTTCATACACTTAAAAACATTTGAGCATCAACGTGATAAGTGATGCACTCACTTAAGGGACTTTATGCTGTTCTTAAAGTATCTCAAGCACAAAAATCTTTACCTATCAGTCCTATGCTATGTTTCCTTGTTGTGATAGTAAACATTACGTAGTAATATCATTTAGAAATATTCCCCAGTAGAATGAAAGCATGAAGTGCATGTATTACGAAAATCACATTCCTCACCAAAAACCCGACATGTATTGAAATTAAGAATTGAGTACAGGGAAGATCTTGTTTCTGAATGAGATGAATGAGGCTGTATCGTTGAAGAGTACTATCAGTTCATGGTTTTCGATTTGGATGTTCCTAATGAATGAAAGAGTTAAATGAATAGTCAGACGAATCTAGTAAATATTTATCTTTTTGTTGATTAATGTATTTCTTCCTTTATTAATTGTAATGATGACAGTATTCTTGAGGTTGTTTACGGTCTTTTGTGATTGTACATTCAATTAAGTGTAGTAAGATGGAATATGAAACACTGTTCAAGTAAGTATACTTTCTTTTCTACAATCACGTAATCAATAATATTACTCTATTTCACAGGGTTGCACTGATGCATTGAATCGTTTCAGTGGACAATTTCTGCGTACTGCTATAGTTCTTTCGCTTATGTTCATAATTCTTGAAGTTGTAGCAATTGGATGTTCCATATATTTAGCTGCATATATTGACGCAAAAGATCAAAGATGATGTTCTATTTTTTTCTTGTCGTATCAATCATTGAGATTATTATTATGGATGGTTTAAAATTCATTGAATTAGCACACTATTGATCTTTTGCAAAATGATTAACGATGTCTTTGTAAGTAAAAAAAATTAGGTAAATAAGATAACTTATCTATAATTCATGCAAGAATGTAATTATAAAGTATTCTATTTACATGTGTTTGTGTAAATTCTGTATATTTGTCTTTCGATTCTTTTATTTTTCAAGTCATTAAGTAAACAAAACATATCATAAAATATCAGAAAGGGTTTTCGTGGAGATTTAGTATTTTCATAGTTGAAAGCGTAATCCACTTGAAGCTAGACCACCATAGAAAAAGCTGGAAGCACTGGACAGCCGTTTCGTCTTGTTGTGCGACTTCTAAAAAGTGCGCATCCGCGACCTTGCACCGCTAGAATTAAACTTAGGACCTACCTGTCAGTTAAGTACCCTGGCGCGAGACTGGTAGGTCCTGGGTTCGAACCTCACGAGGCGAGGTCGTAGATGAGCACTGCTGAGGAGTCCCACAATAAGACAAAACGGCCGTCCAGTGATTCCAAGTTTTCCCTGGTGGTCCAGCTTCAATTGACTCATGCTTTCAAATATGAAAATATCATAAAATAATTTATCCATAAGGAAATTGAAAAGACATTAGAACAATATGATCGGTTGTGTAAACAGGGTAACTGTGAATGTTTTAATGAAGATGCTTAAGCAGTAATCAAGAAATCTATTTAGAAACAATCGTTATGATATTACGTATTGCCAATAATCTGAATTGTCTCGTTGTTAATGGTAGGGACCACAGTTATTCGGTTTCTTCCTGAGTATGTGCATAATGAGCGGGTCGCCCTACCATTAGCATTAAATTACAAGTAATTTTAAGTAAATTCGGAAGAATCAAACCCTTACAAATGAATTTAAGTTCATACCCAAGGCACAAGCTAGTGGTTAACTGGATTCAATATTCAGGTGGATGATGTGTTGAGTGGTTAAGGAGAAAGATGTTAGTTTTAAGTGCCAGTGTGAACATTAAAACGGGTCCGGGTTCATCCAGTTAGAGAGTCCCTAATGTGACGAAACCCGCATCCTGAATTCCACAATTGGCCAATATCTAACTATGACAATTAGAAGTATTCAAATAACCATACGAATCTGAAACCATCTTTTTTGATTCAAAAATAGTTTGTACATACATAAAACCTACCTTGGTAATAAACGGTTGTGATATTACAGTTAATACGGATGACATTGTTATTTTATCATTTACATTGATTGGTGCTCTGGCTCGAGGCTGGTAGGTCCTGGGTTTAAATCTCACGAGGCGAGGTCGTAGATGAGCACTGCTGAGGAGTCCCACAATAAAACAAAACGGCCGTCCAGTGATTCAAAGTTTTCCCTGGTGGTCCAGCTTCAATGGACTCATGCTTTCAACTATGGCTTTTTTATTCATATTTCGTAGATAAATATCTGAACGACTTAATAAGTGATTCAATTGTTTAAATCTATCAAAATAGATAAAACTTTTTTAAATTTAATAATCTAATTTGTTTATATAAGTTGGTGATAAATAATGTAAAATTTGACATCAATGCTCATTTTTTCAATTTAGATCTACAGATCAGCATAACGAAAGGTACAATAGGAATGATATTAACAGAAATAGAAAGGAACAAATAAAATTGAATTATGATGAGTAAGAAATGAAAATAAATTGAAGATTTAAATAGTCAGTCAGTCAGTTACAACGTAGGACCAGGCATATTTATGCATCGGTCCAAGTTACCATACCTCGTTAGCACGACAAGATGAACACCGGATTCATAGAAATAGTTAATTTAGTGGTGGTAGTATATAAAAATAGGTTGTAAATAAGGATATAGTATAGGAAGGAAGAACGTTATGAAGCAATTTTAATCTCAAGGTTTAAGGGAAGATAAAGAGTGTATACACCTACGCCAATGTGATAGATTCTGAGCCATGTCACACAGAGTCTCCAACCATTGGTTACGATAGTCACGCGGACCCCAACCAGATAGTCTGCATCTACCAACATGGCTCAGGCTAGAAGTTAGTGACTTCAAACACTGATGCCATGTTTTGGTTTGGCCGCCCCTAACTCTCTTCCAACCGTCCACAATACTAGTCATAATAGCGGTGTTCAGGCATACGTAACACATGGCCCAACCATCTCAGTCGATGAAGATTTATCACCTCATCAACTGATTTACCATCATTCCCTAATACCCTGCGTCGTATCTCACTATTACTTACCCGGTGATCCCAGTAGATGCGAGCAATATTTCTAAGACATCTGTGGTCAAATACTAGTAACCTACGAGTATCTTCTACTCTTAATGGCCATGTTTCACAGCCGTAAAGTAGAACAGAGCGAACTGCTGAGCAGTATACTCGTCCCTTAATTGATAGACGGATATCTCGTCTTCGCCATAGGTGACGTAAGTTGGCAAAAGCCAAACGAGCTTTTTGAATCCGTGCTGAGATTTCGTCAGACACAGACCCATTAGGACTGATCAGACTTCCAAGATAAGTGAAGTTGTCGACGCGTTCGACTACTTCACTCCCTATCGTTAGTTCAGGATAGGTAGTGGCTAACAGTTGAATCGAGAACGCGCGTTTTGTCCAGTTTGAGACTCGTCAGCTGGATGTGCCTTTATCTCAACATTGATGTTCACTCTTGGACTCAAACCCAGTACTGTTCGCTTCAAATGCCATCGCGTTATCCATTCAGCTACTGAGTCTTGATAGCCACTTGCTTGTGCACTATCAATCTTTGCCTACAATGCTTGTGAATTAAGGCTATATCGAGGCAATACGCACAGTATGCACATATGCCAATAAGAAACTGACCAGTTAATTTAAACTTCATCCCATCGCACAAGGAAGCGGCTTTCAGGACACAGTAGCTGAGTGGATAACGCGATGGCGTTTAATGAGAAAAATACTGGGTTTGAGTCCCAGAATAAACATCAAATCTGAGATGCAGGCACATCCAGTTGACAAGTCCCGAATAGGACGAAACGCGTGGTCTGGATTCCACTGTTAGCCACTACCTATCCTGAACTAAGGATAGGGAGTGAAGTAATCGAACGCGTCGACAACTTCACTTCCACTGCCAGCCACTATCCATCTTTGCTTACGACACGATTTGGGTTTTATTTCTTTACCTCTAACAACAAATTTTGAGGATATGAATACGTATATATTGAAAAAAAATAGTGAATGGTTTAAGTGTTATTGAAATATATGCTCAATACATCCAGGTACATACTCTTTCGTTCAATTTCATAAAGATATCACATGGTGTAAAAAAAACTTATCTCCGGTTGTAACCATGTTTGAACTTGAATCTAAACTATTGATAATAATAATATTAGAGTTCATTATCGTTGAAAGAGAAGTAATCATTACATAAGTTATTTGCTATTGGATCCATCTTTAAATGACAATAATAACTTTTATAATTTTTGTAATTATTAAAAGACAAATTTCAGGTAATGAATGAGGTTTGAATAATATTTTCTAGTTAGCGTTTTTTTTAATGAGTTAGTTTTCTACGGGATGGGGACGATAACATCATGCCCAACCATACTCCTTCATCTGGGCTTGGGACCGACAGTAGCCCCCGGAGAGGCTACAAGCGGAGTTAAATGAATCAAGAGAAATGTATAGAAAAAAAATTGTTCATTATTGTTTGATTAAGTATGTGTAGTATCGGTTTTATATGTTAAGCCCATATGCCTTATTCTAGCTTCTGGACAAACCAATTTACCTACCCATCATGAGTCCCATTTAAACCTTATTAATTATTCACTTATCAACCCTGACTGTTTCTATATGAGCGTAGGTGTTCGTACACTTCTTATCCTATTTATATTACATGTCTATCATTTATTCTTGTCTGACTATAAATATTGATTAACGCTTGATAAACGTGAGTTGGCTTATCCGCCATCCCAAATACGTGTCATTTTTGTTTCGCTCGCTGATACTTCCTCGTGTGCTTATAGCTTTCTGGCCTGCATCATTTGTCAATAAAACTGTAGTTACCGCTTCTCTTTGTCTTCTGAATTTATGCACCGTTAAGATTTGTATTATAACAGTTATCGAGGTGAACGATTAGCGAAGCATGGCATTACATATGAATGATAATTGATTAAATTCACAAATTTATTTAAACACATAAGTATTGGTACAAAGGGGCACCAGATACATATGCGGTACACAAATCAAATGAGATTTGTGTGAGGGCTGTGATACAGCGCAGGTGGTTTTCTCAGGGGGCCACACCCTGAGACTGACCTGAAGGTCTAATCCACAAGGCAGTGGAGCATCATGAGGAGATGCAGTCCCATGGTAGCCGGTGACCAATGATTGATTCATACGCCATTTGTTCCTTCAGGATACTGGAGCCCATGTGCACCATTGGTTCGAAATTACGGTTTTCCAACTCCCCTAGATAGACTCTCCGTGTCCAACAACCCAGTTAAGGAGCCGGACATTCGCTTTTCGTCCTCTCAACTTCGTAAACAACAGTAGTGCCACGGGAAGGCAGTGAGTAGAACTTTCTTGGAAGAAGCTATATACGCGTGTCCACGTGAGAGTATTTGGAGAGGGAGAGCGGACTCTCTCCACTCTCAGCCGTACCAGGGCATTTGGGGGCAAATTGACAAACGCTTCAGTGTTATTCAATAACTTTGACTAGAAATGTACATAAATGAACTCTTATTTATCATTTTTACATGAAATTCTCTTTCAGGTTTTCCATGGTGATCTAGCTTCAATTGACTCATCATTTCAACTGTATACAAAAAACATATGTAATAGTATAAATGTAGAATTAATGATCAAATTACTTAAGTTAAAAGTCGAAAAATTGACTTGATTGATAGAATTAAGTTAAGATTAATGGTTAGGTAAATATGATATAATAGTAGAAAGCATGAGTCAATTGAAGCTAGACCACCATGGAAGACCTGGAAACACTGGAGGCCGTTTCGTCTTATTATGGGACTCCTCAGCAATACGCATCCACGAACGCGCTCCCGCGAGATTCAAACCCAGGACCTACCAGTCTCGAGCCGAAGCCCTTAAATATGATATCAGTTATTAATAAATGATCGATTTATAAATGAGATCGATTGTGAACTGAATAGCTCAGTTGTAATGTCTTTGAAGTGGAAAATGAGTTAAGAAAGCTCTATTACCATTACAATATCAGTTTTCTTTTTTCCTAATTATAAATTTGATTTAATGATGAATGCTAATCCAAATGAGTACTGGGTT